TAAGATCTAGCATAATTTTTACAAACATGCTCTTATTTATGTTTCATGTCTCACTAATTCTGATTAAGTATATCAATTCCTAACATAATGATCATGCATGTGTTGTCAATTGGGGATCATGTGTTTTTATTCAAATATTAATATCCTGTGTTTGGCAAATGGGTTTACAGGTTTTTTTGGCTATTTTAGCCACAAAAAACAAAATAGGTTATTTTAGCCATAACAAACAAAACATCACATCCAATCTATAATCATTACATTCTTCTCTCACAAAAAAACTCAAAAAGCCAAAAAGCCCTTCCCAAACCAAGCTTTTAAGTCCAGGCTAAAATAGCTAAAACAGTCAAAAAGTCAAAAAGCCAACCCACTTCCCAAACGGAGGCTTAGAACTCTTAAATCTTATTACGAGATTAAAATTTTGAGTTATCCTTATTGTATTGTGATTCATTAATAAAAAAATAGAAAGCAGATGACTAACTGAGAATAATGGCCATGCTTGTGATTTGGTCAATTGATGGATCTAATACTTCAACAAAAAGAATTACATTTTGTTTTTGTTTGAACAACAAAAAGAATTACTTGAAGATTATAAGTAAAACTCACATTTATTGTATTTCATTTTATTGTGCTACATTTTAATTGAAATAAACGAAATAGGATAAACTACTAATATATCTTAATAATTGAATTCAATTCCTATCAAATTTTATTAAAAATAATTTTAATAAATCATTGCTAAAAATAATATTTTGTGATGATTTTTTTGCATATGTAGCAAAAAATTGATAATTAGTTACTTTTTTTTACAATTTTTATAAACTGTTGCTAAAACTTACAATTAATGATTTTTTCTGTAATGCATTTGTCAAACTATCATTGAAAGTTAATAATTAATGACATTTTTTATGACAAATTTCAAATTGTCTATGAAAATTAACAATTAGTGACATTTTTTTAATAATATTTAATAAAAAAATGTCATTAATTCTCATATGAACTACTGAATAATAAATTCATCTATTAATAGTTACACGTAAGTCTCTCTTATTTTAAAAATAATAAATAAAATATCTCAAATATTTATTTTTTATGATCACTTGATATACAACTCAACAAGCCAACTAATTTGGCGTCCAATTAAAATTGGGTCAAAACCGGTATGAAATGAAGCCAAGAAATTATTTGCCAACTACAAAGGGAGCATACCCAGACATAGGTTTTGACCAGCCAGCCAACCTCTTGAAATTAACAAATTACCCCATTAAAACAAAAGGCTCGTTAAATTTATATTTTCAAAAGGGTTAGATGATTTATTATTATTATCATTTTTTTGTATGGGTATAGAACTTAGGGTTCATTTGGGATGTGGGTTAATTTTTTAACTTTTTTAATTATTTTAGCTTAGGATTAAAAAGTTTCGTTTATGATGAATTTTTTAATTTTTTAACTTTTATAAGAGAAAAAATAAAATGATTATTTTCTCAGTTAAATTTTTGTACTAAGTAGATGAAATTTTTTTAGGTGTTTCTCAAAGAATATGTCATAGTTTTCAGGGTAAATTACGCTAATCACTTTTGAGATTTGATAAAATTATAATTAGTATCACATTTTTAACATAATTATAGAACTTTTCTTTTAGTATGACTAAAAGAACTGAAATTAATGCAAATGGTGAATAGATATTTAAATAAAGATAAATATATATTTTAGTTGAAAATAGTGACAATATCATTTTTTCTTTATTCATACTACGAATTAGTGACAAAAAATGACCTAATTACTATATGGATTAAAATCTCAACGGATACTAATGTAATTATGGAAAAAACGTGAGATTAACTGTATTTTCTTTAAACCTCAGGGGAGGTGAGCGTAATTTACCTTAGTTTTTTTTTTTTATATATATATATATCAATTGAGTTCTTATGTTGTTTTCTAAATTAATAACACAAAAAGTGATGAACTTTACTATCCATATCCATAACTACAAAATTAGGGTACTGTGTAGATTTGTTTCAAAATGACTGAATAATTTCTCCTAAATTGATTTTCATTTCAAATACCAAGACTTGGATCTCATTAATCATGTAGGTGAGATTAATGTATTGGAGTATTGTGGATTTTAATAAATAATAATCGATGACCATTGGACCCTGCTTGAAGGAGGGGCTTCGGGAGGCATGCCTTCAACTCAAATTTTGGTGTAGGGGTATTTTAGTATTTTCATACTTGTATATTGTTACCTTAATAGCTATGATTAAAGTCGAGGAAGAGACGATTATCTTTGTATCTTATGTAATCATAAAAATTACAGTAGCCGTAGACACAAGTTTAATTTTAATTTCAATCACGTAAATCTTTGTAAAGTCTGATTTTAATTTCAATCATGTAAATCTTTGTGTTTTGTGCACTTGTTTTTTTCTTTTTAATTTTTGTTCTGTTTGTACCCATTTTTGTTGAATTCATGTCAACAGGTGAACCAATCAGGTAATGACATGTGGCAGGGTCAAAGTGGGGATCTTGCATTAATTAAAGGACAAGTGACACCAATAAGAGTTGATCCTTTGTGTGGGATAGCCCAAAGAATGGGGCAGTTATTGGACTAGTGCAAAGTGGGAGTTTCTCTCTGTCGAGGGAAGGCTGAAAGTGGTGATGGATATGTGGCATCATGTAAGGAGGGTAATTTGATAGATAAAAGTGACAATGTGGTGGCAAAGAGACAGTTACAGTAGGTGTGCAGTGGCAGTTGCAGATTTGAAGGGTCGTGTGATCAATGGGTTATAGAAAGAAAGAAGGCTATAAAGGCTGGTAAGTGAAGAAGGAAAGGACATCATTATCACAACAACACATAACTTTTAAACTAGGAGTAATTGATTGTAACTTAGCAGTAGTTTCCTCTGTAATTTATGATTTGTAACTTGGTGAACTTCAATAGTTTCATTATGGAATCACTCATTGTTTACTTTGTAATTATTAGTTGTTCCAAAGAAATCATCATTCTTTTGAGACATTTGAATCAATTCCACAATTGCTTGGTTGTTCTTATTAAATTGTCTTGTTAAAATTACTGCTTGGTTGTTGTCGATTAAGATCTAGCATAATTTTTACAAACATGCTCTTATTTATGTTTCATGTCTCACTAATTCTGATTAAGTATATCAATTCCTAACATAATGATCATGCATGTGTTGTCAATTGGGGATCATGTGTTTTTATTCAAAGATTTTATTTAGAACTCTTAAATCTTATTAAGAGATTAAAATTTTGAGTTATCCTTATTGTATTGTGATTCATTAATAAAAAAATAGAAAGAAGATGACTAACTGAGAATAATGGCCATGCTTGTGATTTGGTCAATTGATGGATCTAATACTTCAACAAAAAGAATTACATTTTGTTTTTGTTTGAACAACAAAAAGAATTACTTGAAGATTACAAGTAAAACTCACATTTATTGTATTTCATTTTATTGTGCTACATTTTAATTGAAATAAACAAAATTGGATAAACTACTAATATATCTTAATAATTGAATTCAATTCTCATCAAATTCTATTAGAAATAATTTTAATAAAATCATTGCTAAAAATAATATTTTGTGACGATTTTTTTGCATATGTAGCAAAAAATTGATAATTAGTTACTTTTTTTTGTCACGATTTTTATAAATTGTCGCTAAAACTTACAATTAATGACTTTTTTTGTGACGAAATTTTCAAACTATAGTTGAAAGTTGAAAATTAACGATTTTTTTAAACTGTCACTAAAACCTATAATTAGTGACATTTTTTGTGATAATTTTCAAACTGTCGTTGAAAATTAATAATTAGTGACTTTTTTTTTTTATAGTATTCGATGAAAAACGCCATTAATTATCATATGACTTATTGGACAATAAGCCTACCTATTAGGACCTACATGTAAGTTTCTCAAAAAAATACTTGTCTCATTATGTAAAATTTAAGTATATTTTTTTAATGTTACAATTTATTAAACTCAACACCAATACATCCACCGAATTTATTTAACCTAAATTCACACAAATAAATCTCTTTCCAGGAAGAGACTCGCGCACATGAGTCTCTTCTTCAAAAGAGACTCGTTCAGGCGAATTCAGACTAAACAAATGCGGTTGACGAATCATTAATTTTCTAAACTCTTGGAAGTTGTAACCACCATGAAAAAAAAAAAAAAAAGCATAACATACAACTAGGACCTCTCTAAGAGCTTTATTATATCCTTGCTCTACTATTATCTTATATTAATTTTAGAGAAAGCTAATTTGTTTATAACATGTTCACTTTGAGCGTGCATATGTGCAAAAACCTTCACATCTTACACCAAATTTGTCTATAATTTTTTTTTCTTTTTTTGTTTTATAAATTTAAAATTCAAATACAGAATTAAAAGAATCACATAATTTGTACACAATCATAATTATTATTTTTTAAAATAATATGTGCGAAACCTTTACATCTTACACCAAATAGACCTGTAAAAATTTGCCCTTTTTTTTATTTTTTTTACAAATTTAAAATTCAAATACAGCATTAAAAAAACCACATGACTTGTACAAAATCATAAAAAAAAAAAAAAATGGAAGGAGTAATCATGATAATGTTTATTCACTTTATTTTCTCTATTGTGTGGGAAGGCCACAATTGTTTTTGGAGGTGTGGTGCACTCCACACATCCATGTTCACCAACTAACTTGGGAGTTGATTAATCCCTTTCATCAAAAACCCAACCACCATTTTTCTCCTTTGGTCAACAAATCATCATCTCCAATGAAAGAAATTCTAAAGTAAAGCCAAAAATAAAAAAGATGACAAGACAAAGATTAAAAAAAATTAAAAATAAAAATAGAAAAATAAAGTAATTCTAAAAGCAAAGAAAGAGTCTATGAGAAGGCACATCAACCTCCACCCCCTCCCTCCTCCACTTTACTTCTCTTTCCATACTTAAGCTCCCTCCTCCCCTTCCCCTGCAACAAACTTCTCTCTCTCTCTCTCAGTATAGATATTGGTCATGGGTTCAGTGGGCAGCCCAAATTCTTGGGCACCATATGATGGTTATATGGATTGTTCACAAGGAATTTGCAGCATATACTGTCCACAATGGTGCTACATCATCTTCCCTCCTCCCCCTCCCTTTGTCCCGGTGGACGATTCTGCTACCAACTTCTCTCCTCTCATCATCGCGGTCATTGGCATCTTGGCTAGTGCTTTTCTCCTAGTAACCTACTATACCATCATATCAAAATACTGTAGTAGAAGACGAAATCAAAATCGTCAAAACTCAGTAACCCAAATTGAAACAAATCACAATCAAGCGAATCAGAACACTTGGCAAGTCACCTCAACTGGGTTGGACGAGTCACTAATCAAGTCCATTGCGGTTTTCAAGTACAACAAAGAAGATGGGCTAGTGGAAGGCACGGATTGCGCGGTTTGCCTTAGTGAATTCCAAGAAAATGAGAGGCTAAGGCTATTGCCAAAATGTAGCCATGCTTTTCACCTCCCATGTATTGATGTTTGGTTGAAATCTCACTCGAATTGCCCTTTGTGTCGTGCCAATGTATTAGTACCTAGCAATAATTCTTCAGCTCTCCCACCATCTCCGATCACACAAAGTTCTTCTTCTCTTGAAATTCATCGACAAAATGATCTGACACTTGTGGTCGATGATCAAAGTGGGCATGGCACAGAGGTTGTTGTTAGCCTTGTTAGCGATGTTGATTCAAAGAACAACTTTGAGGATATTAGTGGGATTGAAATGGCTGAAAATCAACAACAATTGAGAAGATCATTTTCATTGGGATCAATGTCATGTCAAGGCCATCTTTTAATTGCTGATATATTGCATATTAGTGAAGATGATGAGGAGAGACAAATGGGAATTCATGGATTGAATACCGGCATTGGATCTTCACGGGGAATTTGGGGAGACAATAGTATGAGACATGGTGGAAATGAGGGGTTTGAATTGCAGAGATCGGTATCGGCTGGAAGGATCAGTTTGAGAGGGCATGAAAAAGGAAAGAATTCTATCATTCCTAACTGATTATTTATTTATTTATTGTTTTTTGTTTATAAAACAACATTTGTGTATATTTTAGATCCACAAGGCTTACCAATTGAACAAATGAAATGAATCAGAGATCCATGAATTGAAATCTGTATCTTCAAACTCTTTACTGAAAATATAGCTCTAATTGTTTTGGATCTGATTCAATGATCAACTTCTTCTGCTAATGTGGTTTGCAGATGCAGAATTCTATTATTATTATTTTATTTTTTTATGTTGAGAAATGCAAACAATTGAGTATCGGTTAAGCATGGAAGATACTAGGGAGAGTCAAACTAATTGGCATTCAAGTTTACTACTTGCATTAAAATTTGTTCCTTAGTTGCTCAGCTGGGTAGTGATATACAAATAAAATTTTGTACAAAAATTTCATATAAGATGATTTATCTTTTTGTGATTCCTTTATTTTCAGTTAAAACACCTATCATTATTATCATACTTTTAAAATTGTCATTGATGCCTTATTTTGGATAAAAATTTTATCTAATAAACAATCTTCCTATAATCACATATAGTACATAAACATACAATATAAAAAAATGATGCCGACCACTAATTAGTGATTGCACTAGGGATGTGGCAGTGGGTCCCACCCACTGACACATGTGTTTTGTGCCTTAGTTTTTTTTTTTTTTTGGCTTGCCACATCATTAGTGGTGATGTTTTAGGTGATGTTTTAGTGATCTGTATCATTATTGTACAATATATTGATTGACAAGCGTGTGGAAAAACACCTTTTTGTGGTGATGTTAGTGGTGATGTTTTAGTGATCTGTATCATTATTGTACAATATATTGATTGACAAGCGTGTGGAAAAACACCTTTTTGTTGATGCTTTTAAGTACAATTGTACACTATCAACACAAAACTTTTTTTTTTTAATAAATTACAAATACACATCTTGAAATTTGTTTAAAATATAAATTGTTCCTTCTGATTTGAAAAAATACAAATAGTCCCTTGTTAAAAAAATTTATTTAACATAATTAAATGAAAATATAAAATTCGAAACCGCCCTCATATACAATAATAAAATTACTTGAATTATTAATTAAAATATATTTCTAACATCATTAAAAACTGTTAATTAATTTGATAATTTATTAATAAAATGAGCAATTTATTATGAACTTATAAATCTCAAGGTGTGAAATATAATTTTTAAAATCACACGGAAATATTAATATTTTAAACAAATATCAGAAAATATATTTATAATATAACCAAATTTTTTGTAGATAATAAAATATAAATGTAAAACTCACTTTTTATTTTGCATGTGTATTCTACCATGTGAAATTACTCTATACTTAGATTTACTCCTTTTTTAAGTATATAGCTTGATGAATTGCATTTGTGTGTGCTGGTCTATGTGGAAAACATTCTCTCCATCTTCAATAAAGAGCAATTGCAGTCAGTGCTTTGATGAACTGCTTTACAGTCCTCCTTAAAGTGGACGCACCAACAAGGATAAAAAGTACTCAAGCCTCCTACACTTTTATCTAAAGAAGCTGATATATAAATAAAAGGGTCATTCTACCATATATATATATATATAGTAATCACATTGATCTCTTTCAAAATTAAAAATATGTATATAATAAATCCTATAAGTTTGATATAGTTATACTGAATTTTCTTAAAATTTTAATTCATATAACACTATATTCATTTTCATCAAAAATTTGTTAGTCATATAAATAAAAAATAATATTATCATCTCTTTTTACATTGAAATATATATTTTACCTTTTGTACCCTTATGTCTTCATATCATCAATATTAGTTTTGTTTCTTTAACTTTATTAAAAGAAAGTCAATGTAGTTTTTTCAAAGCAATATTTTCTCCAAACTTTAAGGGATGTCGTTGTAATTTACCCAAATAACCATAGTAAGAGTGGTATAATTAGCAACATGAGATCTGCATATTGAAATGGAAATTAGAGGCTATCAAAGTCCTAAATTTGGATGAATCTGAAATTTATCCAAGGATGATAAATTGATGTACTAAAGAGATTGATAAAAGACAATTGCTTTCACATGTTAAAAACATACTTGATGATGTTACTATTGTTTCCATAGTTAATACTACTTAATGTGGGTACATTCCATATCAGTATGTGAGAGTACTACATTTTATCTTATAAGTTAACTAACTCCTTCTAATTAGCATAAGACGTTTCTTAAGGGAAGAACAAAACCATATTAATACATCCAAAGCAGACAACAAGCAAAGTGAATATTTAGTAATCTATGATATGTAGACTATTGCTTGTGGGAGACTCTCCACAGTTTACTTTTTGGTGTTTTTTGTTTTTTTTATGAAGAGGAAATTCTCCTGATACTGAGGGTCGGTTTGGGATGTTCTAAAAAAGTGCACTTTTTGACTTATATTAGCTTATATGTGTTGGGTTTGGGTTGGGTTTGATGTGATGTGTTAGAGAGGTGATGTGATTTAAATAAGATGATGTGACTTAAATAGGATAGTGACTTTTTGACTTTTTATATTATTTGCCAAACCAACCCTGAGTTGAGATGGTTAAGGTTTACCTTAGAGTTGGGGGAATTCGGTTGATGCACCATTCTAATATAATCATTTAACAACATAGTGATCAAACCCACACGCGTTGAGCTTAATTACGTAAAAAAATTTGTATTAATGTACACAAAGAAATTTTCTTTGAATTGAACACATCCCTCGAAGAAAAATTTTGTATACCTATATAATTACTCGTAAAGTGTAAATATTGGTCAAGTTTGAAAAACAACAGCAAAAGTAAATTTTAAGTACTTTGAGTTTACATCACTTAATCGTTTAATTACTAATATGGATTTATATTATTCATAAAAAAAAATTAGGTTAATTTAATAATCGTAACATTTTTATTTTATCGTTTTTGTCTCTAAAAAAACTAGATGGTCTATTTTTAAAAATACATTGTCGTCTGTTTTTTTTAAAGACAAACATTTTAAAATAAAAATATTATGATTATCAAATCAATTTTATTTTATTTTTATTTTTATAGTTGATATGCACAAAAGAGCCTACAAAATAAATAATTTAAATTATCAAAATGAGATTAATAATAAGTTTCACGAATCCGAATATAACGAGGAAATCTAAATTTAAATTTGAGAGAAGTGTATTGTTTTATTAAATTAAGAGTTTAACATTATGTGGACATGTGATAAGAACTAGAAATTAATTATAAGGACAAGATATACTATAAAATCAAGGCGTGGGTCGATCATATCAATTGAATACTAATAACACATAGACAGTCCAAAATGGTAGTCCATTATCAGCTATCATTAACTCTTTGTTAATTATACTATTAACTAAGAATGAGTTTTTTCTCCATTTCATTGTCTGAATTGAAGGGCCTAGTTTCAGTCATTATTATTATTAGGGAAATTTAGTTAAAAAAATTTCATTGGACCTTTATTAGATGAAAAAGACAATCTAATTTATTTTTTTTCATAAACCTCTAAAGAGAAAATACATAATTGAGTAATGATAAAGTAAAATATTCTTTTTTTTTCTTGGATAATATTGTCAAAATAACATGTTACTGTCAAACAGAGTAACATGTTACTGTTACTGTTTATATTAATTTCGACGGGAATAAATTTTTTTTTAAAAAATTTTATAGTCAACATAGATCTTATTTAATAGATCTTGATAAAAGAATTTTAAAAATATTAATTTTATTAAAAATCAATATCTAAATCAAAAGTTATATTATTTTAAAGTTTAATATTTTGAAAATAATGGTATGTGTTATACTTTTCAAAAAAAAAACTTTTTGTGCTAATGCATTAAAATTTTATTATGAGGGGCTTTAACCAAATTCCTCTTATTATTATTATTTCTTTTTGTTAATAGGTCTAGTTTAATTTACTGTGAACCTATTTTGAGTTCATTTTTTTTATTCGGATCATTCAATTGTTAAAATCTTCTAATAGATTATTTATATAAAAAATTTATGAATATCTGTAACAGCATGTTTGGTTCACATTTAACTCAAAACAAAAAGGTCTAGTTTTTAAATTATATTGACGTCTATTTTTTTTAAATAAATGTAATTCAAATATATTACTATTGATATCAAATTAAATTAAATTTTTATAAATAATTTACTGAAAACATACTAAAAATTGAATAACTTAAATTAACAAAATAAACTCAAGATAGACCCATAATAGCTTAAACTGAACCCTCCTGCTTGAATAGTGGACTGGTGAAAATCCTATCCTTAATTAAAGTTATCATTGGCATCAAATATAGTTGAGATTTTTAATAATTAGTAGTTAAATTTTATATTGGCATTAATTATTAGTCATCACGTGGCACTGTCATCATCATTTGCACACATCTTGCACAAGAAATTGTGAGAGGGAGAGATAAACAATATGAAAAAAAAATTACAATTTAGTGTGTTTTCATAAAATAATTATAGTTTATGAAAAAATTTATAATTATAATTATTAATGTTTATAAAATTTATTAATACTTTAAAGTTATTTTAAAAAATTTACGCTGAGTCAAAAAGAAATTAAAAATTATTACAAATCAATGCTTTGAATTACACAGATAAGTGAGACTCATACAGATGAATGACTCTTTTTTTATTTTGATAATCGAATATTCGGGTCAATTTATACGTATTTTAACTATTTCTAGGTGCCAATCCTACTACCTACTTGTGGGGGTCCCATTTAAAATCAGGGTGAACGTCTTGTATGGATATCATCCTAAGAAACTTATTATTGTTAGTGGATATTGAACCTAAAACATGGAGGAAACATATCCCCGGCTCCAAGTTTTGCTCACTAAGACCTGAAAAGAATATACCTCTAGGACCCAAATTTTTCCCACTAGACGTTGAATTGTAACATTAACATGTTACTATCACTAACAATGAATAATTATTAAAGACAGAAATGTGAAAATGTAAAATGCAATTGATTAAGTGGACATCATGTTCACCAACCTCTCTCTCAAATTAAATAAAAAGCAAAACAAAGTAATAATTGGACATTTGTCGTGGTGCACTGATTTTTTAAAATAAAATTAAAATGTGTTCTTAATATTTTAATTACTTTTTTCTTTGCCAAAAGAAATACTTATCTTTTAATGTCAAATATGCTTATTTCATTTTTATTTTTATTTTTGGGTAGGAAATCAAGGC